GCGCGCGCGGGCAAGGGCGACCAGAACCACAACCCCGTGGACGCGGCCTCCGTCTCCCCGGCCCGCCCGCGACTCCAACTACGGCGGCGTCGTCGACATCCAGGCCCCCGGCGTCGACGTCGTGTCCGCCCGCGCCGGCGGCGGCTACATCTCCATGTCGGGCACCTCCATGGCCACCCCCCATGTTGCCGGCCTGGCCGCCTACTTGCTGGGCCTGCGCAAGACCTCCGCCTCCAACCTGTGCAGCTACCTCCAAGAGAACGCTTGACAGCAGTCCATTTCAGGCTTGTACTGGGGCACCAAGAACTTGCTTGCCCAGAACGGCATTGGTGCTTAATGCTTTTCGTTAGGGAGCTTTACATCTCACCGCAAGATGTTTACGTGAAAGTTGCGTTTTGAAATCATATTTTACCACTTCTACCAAATGGGAAGCGTTTTCTGAAGATAAGAAAAAGGATGATACGTATCCGTGGCACTGGCGGAATAGATACATCTCGACAGAAAGTAAGTTTTACTTTGATTGCATCAATGCTATCTGCGGCTAGACGCGGCCACGATGTTCAGTTTCCTCTTGAATATTTTGAAATAAGGGGGCCCGAGTCATGTAGATGGGCTTTTTTTCTTTCAAACAGTCAATTTTTTGAGAAATTGGGATGGACGGGGATGCGGGCATATCCCCTGCCGTCTTTTTGCCGGATTTGGCTCTCTTCTTTTTTTGTCAACTTGGGTCTTTGATAGACGGGCAGCTTTAGAATCTTCTTTGTAACTTACTTGTTTTGTACATTTGAAAATGAGTCGTACTCATACCTGACTATGCACTTGAAAGTAATAATATTCCGGGCAAAAGCCGGATTCGGTTCTCTATATGAATGACACTCTTTTTGAACCATGTAATCTGTGATGCGTAGCCTGCAAGGAGACTGCACGGGGCCATAAAAAGACTACAATCTATACTGTAGAAGCTACCAAAGGGTCTTGTACCATTTCTTCTTCGATTCACATCTCATCCCAAGTACGTGCTCGGGGCCATAACCGACAAAAATGCAGCCCCGTCGTCTATCCAGGGGTCCACGATGCAGCCTCGTCACAGCAGCCCATCTCCAAAATGATCAAACCCAAGTTGACAGGCATTACAAAGGGGAAAAGGAGACCCTCACCAAGCGTCCATATATACCGAATCAAGAACATTGCCATATCTCATCCGCCGACAAACATGTACATCGGGCGGAAAAACCAAGGTGGCCTTGGCGGCAGCGGTCCAGGCTATTTATTCCAATTTATTGTGCAGGCGGACTTCCTCACGCTTGACTCTGTGGTACCGAGCTGCCACATGCTTTGTGCTGGCGGAGCTGGCGGTTTATTCTCAAAGGCAACTCAGCTTGGGGTCTCTCACGACTATTCAGCGGACAGCAAACCGTCGGTGCAATATTGATGGCTCTTGGGGAAAATACTGCTTCTGACGACGGCCTGATGTGCGAAATCGCCAGAGAATTGGAATTTGTATTTTAACGCATACAACACCCATAAAAAGGGCGCGTTACTTGAATCAGCATGCAGTTGACATAGAATTATGAGATGCTACTCCGTACCCTCCACGATATATGAAATCGTGTCTAAGTGCATCTTTTTACCAAGGGCCCCTTGTAGGCCGCGTAAATGCCTGCACGTAAAAGGCTTAGATGCCAAGAACAATTGAAATCTGCCTATTTTAGATTGGCCCCAAAAAAAACACTATTAATCGTGTTCCAATTCGCCTGCCGAATTTCTGTTAATTTATTAACCCTAACTCTATTATAAGTGTCCAGGGGAGTAAAAAGAAAAGGAACCAAAAAAAAAATACGGGCGCTAACAAGGGAGCACGATACAAAGTAATATCCTCACTGTTTTCCACAGCCGAATTGTACCTCGAAACGGTCCGTCCAACTTACCGTCGATATCGTGGATCAGGCCCTAGACAGTGGGAGGCATGTCCTGACCGAACCAAGTCCCTGGCCATTTCCCGCTGCACTAGAAAATATGCCAAAACGATTTTCCCTGCCTTGATGGACAATTATATCCTGCTCCAAACTCTCGGCTTTAAACCTGCAACACCGAAGTATGATGCATTCAGCCGCCGCAAAACTGCCTGGTCTAAACGTTTCTGAATTGCCATCTCAAGACGGCTGCCCGCCAGTAAGGCTAGGATTAGACGGGGAACGCAGTCATTGACTCATCTTGCAATTAGACGCCATGACAACACCGATAATATTAAGGAGACCATAGTACAGCGTCTCCAAATATTCTCTCCAACTCACTATACAGAAATTCTGCATGCAAGCAACTTGGTATAGTACAAGTATCCAACATGTCAAGACATTCTTTTTCCTTCAGTCACAAGATGATTAATTCCTTGATAGCTATCCCGTCGCCATAAACCTGCCGCCGTCCTGCTTAAATAGCCAATCACTATTTGCGTCCACCATGAAATTCGTAATGTTGAACTCATTTGGCGCCATTTGAGCCTGCCCATTCTGTGCATCCATCGCAGTGTCGGGACCCAGTGCCTGGGCACCAGCAGAATTCTCGCCGCCAAATGGCAGACGGGGGACATTGAAAAAGTCAAACACGTCCAGATACTCCAAGTCATTTGGTGCCGGGGTTTTGGCCGGCGCGACAGTGGGCAATCGGGTGGTTGTGTCAGCATTGTGTTTCGGTTGTCGAGACATCAAAACGTCGAGGTCGAATGCCGTCCGTCGCATGTCTGCTAGGATTTTGACAGAGCTAGGTGTGATACCATCACCCTTCTGCTCACTGTCACGGTGCTCATCCAGCACCCGCTGAAGTAGCCCACAGTATCTCGCTGCCACCGGCCAGTATCGTCCCATTTCTCGCAGGGTGTCAACAAAGAAGCCGATTTGCGGAGCCAGTTTATGCTCAACTGTAGATCCATGAACAAGCAAAAGCCTTGCTGAGACCCATATCGTAAACGCAAATGGCGGCCCCAGCTTGCTGAGAAGGCCGTTCTGGACCACGAACTCTCCCAAAGCCGCAATGTTCTCAACAGCACCGTGACACCTTTGCGAAGCGCTGTACGACGGCGTAAATATGGGCGATCGTGTTGTGGGGTATGCTGCTGACGAGTGAAGTCGAATGACGGCAGTGTGATACGTGCCATGAAGCATCACCAGAATGCAATTCAGGTTCTTTTTTGGTGCTTGAAACAACTTGGACATGTTGCCAAACTCGGGGGGCAACCCAAACCTCCAGGTCGTCAGCAGGTTATCCAACTCCTTGTAGCGCAGTTGCCATTGCTCGACGTCTCCCAGAGCACTGATGTCTACAGGCTGCTTGAGGAACGTGTGTATCTTGGACAAGATGCCCAAAATCTCGATATAGTAGGCAAAGGGCCCGAGATTTTCTGGTTTGCAAATCTCCTGCGCAGATCCCTCCCCGTGGTGTTCTCTAGCCTTGAACCACTTTGTATCTACTCTCTGATTTCGCATCCACAGGTCGTCACGGCAGGGCAGCGTTCGGTCGATTTCCTTGTCCGCCAATGCGAACTCGAAAGCAGTGGCAATAGTGGCATACCTGTCAAGAAGATAAATCATCCAGAAGAGTCGTCGACGTGATTCGTCGTCGATAAAGTCCTTGGGTTCCGGAAGAATCATGGCCCGCAGTGTGTATATCGATGTGTAACTGGGTGAGACTGTGAATGAGTTGCTCTCAACCGCCAATCCGAGCTGTACTACTGAGCGAGTCATGAGCGCCAAAATATTCCAACCTGGCGGGCCATTACTACTGCCGACAAGATCAAGTGCTACAATGACCAGTGCCTGGAGCGATTTGACAGAGGTATTCTCCATGCCATATAGTAGCACACGCTCCTTGCTCACTTTGTGGTAATGCTCCCGCCTCTCATCGGTGAGTCTAGGGTCTGTGGAGTAGCGCATCGTTGTGGCCACAATTGCATGTAGGAGAATTCTATCAGTCTCTTGCAGTGTCGACGGTCCAAACAGTGAGTCGAGAGTGGTTTTTCGGTGGAGGATTGGGCACCAAGTGTTGATGTGCTTGAAGTATAGGTCAACAAGAGCATAGAGAAGGTCGTAGGGGGGCATGTCTTGATCCGGAGGAGTTGATACTGCCGTTTGGCTCAGCGGAGCGGTCGGAGAGCGAATTGTAGGCTGGTTTTGGTAATAGGCCTGTCCTCCAGGCGCAGATGACGGAATTGGCGGCATCTGCGACGCTGCGGACAGGCCTCCCAGCGACCCTTGGTGATGAAATGTGTCGGACATGCCTGGGTGTTGCGGTGCATTGAAGTCAACGGCTTGCGATGTCGGCGTCAAAGTTGACGTCTTTGGGACAAATAAGCTATTCTCTCCTCCTGGTGTAGTGATGGGTTCGGATGCTCTGTACAGGTGAGAAGGAGCATCCCTCGGCGTGCCATGGTCACTTGGTATGCTGGGGTTGCTGTTTTGAATGGCACCGGCAGCATTGAGATGTGGATTTGAGGCCAACACGTGTTGAATAATGTCGGAGTGAGACTGCAAGACGGCTTCAAGCTTGTCCATCCGATCTTGTAGCTCCTTACCAAAGCCAGCCCTTAGACCGGGCCGTCTTCGCTCCTTGTATTCGCATATTGCGCCATTTCGAGCGCACCATCCGCAAGACGGCTGTCCGCGGTCACATTTTACCTGTCAAATAGCAGGGTCAATACATGTACAAGGACGGGATATGACGCAGCTTGCGTGGGGAAAAAATATATATATAGCGTGAAGATTTGTAGCTCTTGTTGATCCTTCCGAGTCAACGAACAGGGTCGGGTGGGTCTTACTTTTCGCTGTTTGCATAGCTCGCACCTTGGTATAACAAGGTCAGTTTTCGATTCCGGGGCCCTCTCGTAGAGAGGCGCAGGCATGTGAGGACATCAAAGCAAACAAGATAACGACAGCAAAAGATTGTAGCGCAAGGTACAATACAGACGTGTAAAGCAAGCGGCAAATCAGATGTGGAATGATAAACCGACTCAACGGGGGCGAAGGCCAGACCCGAAATCGAGAGAACAACAACGACATGCCATGAAAAAAAGGCCAAGATGGCAAAAGAAAGACCAAGATTGTGACATACGACACTGAGGTCGGGCGCTTGCGCTTCCCATTTTGGGTAGAGCCATCGTTGTATTGCTCATCATCACTATGAGAGTCGCTGTCGGGCTCGGTTGGTTGATGTGCTATGACTGAGGTGGGACCAGAAGCTGGAACTGACGATGGTGACGGTCCCTTGGCGCCGACAGCTCCGTGCTGCATCATGCTTCCTCGCCCAGCTGGAAAGGGCCCCTGGTGAATCGATTACGTGAAAATCAATACCGCTCCTAGTGTCTGCTGTCCAGTCCACGGAGTATTGGGCCAAGATAGCTGCACGGGTTGTTGTTAAAGCGAGGCTGTGGGGAGCGAGATGTCAGAGTGAAACATTCGGGACAAAGGTGAGCGACAGGAGGAGATAATTTGCGTTATGCCGGCATTGAGAGAGACTAGCCATTGCATGTGTGGATCATCAGCTGCGGACGGGGCCAAGCTGGGTAAAGTGGCGGGCGAACCCAGAGCAGAGTCACGGGATTTTAATGGCGGCGTTTGAGTCCTCGAGTACGGAGTAGGATGGCAGACGCCAATAGTCGACATGTTTAGTCGGGCGAGGTGGAGGGGAAGCCAGCCACAAACAAGCAACGTCTCGATAGGGTTTGATAGTGCCATGTTGTGCAATCAAATTGATGGTGTATCTGGTGGGGGAGACAGCGGAAGACGGGGCGCAGGAGCTTCTCCAAATCAGAAGCTCGGCAGAGCCTCGGCTGCTAATAACCGGCAAGTGCCAGCAGGTGGAAGAAGCTACCCCCCTGAGTCGCGGCAAGACGCGGCAACCCTAGACATGGTCACGGCAACATTTCGTTTGATGCACATGCCGATTCTTCTGACAGGTTGAGACAAAATTTCATGACCGCTAGATCCGCTATTTTAACGGCGACCCCGATACCCCTCAAAGGACGTTTGCGGGTCCGTTCAGCTTTGCGAACTGGAAAAACAATATCGACAACGGAACCTGCCTCCATGACAGATGGCTTGGATGTTGAACTGTCCAGCATGACTAGAACACTTCCAACGCTTTGAGAATGGTATCAACACGTTCTTCTGGTCAGGGCAGAGCTGTCTAGCCGAGCATCTACCGCGCCCGAGCGTACATGTAGCCCCGTAGCAGCGGTCGTGAAGCCCTCCCTGGACATGAACTTGGCCATACTTCCCTCGTCAATAGTCATCATATATCGTGACGATTCTCTATGCCGTGACAATAGAGCTGTTGCCTCAAGAGGCTCGGCTTCTGGGAATAAACTGGCTGTAGCAAATGCGGAGATGGAAAAGAAATGAACTATCAAATATGTAACTTTTTTTTTAAAAAAAATTAATCAAGTTTTGTTTAAAAAAAAAAAAAAAAAAGGCCAATCGGGGCTCCGAGGCGTCAACTGGTCTTTGTAGGTACTTGGTCAGTGGTGGGAGAAGAGACGAAATGCCCGTACCTTGCAGCAATCGGTGTCTGATCTGGCTGGTCCCCGACCCAATGGGATGAACTGTCCTCCCGTCGCACCCCAGCTTCCCCAGCTTGTGTCCTTCAACGACTTCAGATATTATTCATTCCAGGTCTCCTGAATCGGCCCAGGGCACTTTGGGTGTCGCGTGTCTGCAGCCATGACGCAGATGTTGAAGGAATGTGCCCCGAATCTCGTCGTTCGCGCCATCGGGGCATTTATGGCCGAAGGGGAACAAACACCCACATCACATCGTCGTCACTGGATCACTTTTGCGACCTTTTGTCTAGCAGCCACTCCCCCCACATGCATTACCTGATCCTGCGACCTGTGCAAGCTGCACGATAATCACACGGGCATCGATTCGATTAGTCTTCAGTTCGTCGAGCTGAAGCCGATCCCGTTGCCGACCCCATTTGCCGGGGTTTGCAAAAACTACGACTCATAGATACTACAGTGGCAACTTGAACCTGTCGTGGCCCGCCGACGTATATCACAAGACTGTATCCTTTTTTTTTTGTTTTAATTCAAAGAGGTTGAGCCGACTCCAACATTCACTCCTCTCCAATACATGTTCGAGAATCGAACGCAGCCATGGCGTCGGCTGTTCGGAAGTTTCCTACCATCAAAGCCGTTCGATCATATGTGATTGGCGGCGTTGGCTCAGGTACGACATGACGACTGGAAATCGAGACAGACCCCAAGCGCTAACATCAAACGGGCAGGCGGCGATTATCACAATGTCAAAGACGGCCACTGGTGAGTCTGCGCCAATATTCGTGCTCAGCGTGAACCATGGCAACAACTGACCACATGTGCAAATTGGTTCCCCCCCAGGCTGATTGATAGCGACATTTCCACCCCCTGCTCAATATGGGAGCAGTATCGAAAGTCTCGGACAAGCTGGGGAATCAATGTTCTCGGGTCATTCCTGGTCGAGATCGAAGCATCTGATGGAACTGTTGGATTTGCAACTGGCTTTGGAGGCAAGTTCCTTAACCGCGATGATGTTGCCACGGAGACGTATAAGGAGAAATATCACCAGTGCTGACAGCTCTAGGCCCTCCTGGATGCTGGCTCATCCACCAACACTTTGAACGCTTCTTGATCGGTACCGACCCTCGCGACACCAACCTGCTATTTGAGCAAATGTACCGAGCGTCCATGTTCTACGGCCGCAAGGGCCTCCCAGTGGCCGTCATCTCCGTCATTGACCTCGCCATCTGGGACCTGCTGGGCAAGCTGAGGAACGAGCCGGTGTACAGACTCATAGGCGGCGCCACAAAGGAACGCATCGACTTCTACTGCACCGGCCCCCAGCCGACTGCCGCTCGGGACATGGGCTTCTGGGGTGCCAAGGTGCCCCTGCCGCACTGCCCCGAAGAGGGCCACGCCGGGCTTCGCAAGAACGTCGAGTTCCTCCAAAGGCACCGGGAGTCCGTCGGCCCCGACTTCCCCATCATGGTGGACTGCTACATGAGCCTCAACGTGTCGTACACGATCCAGCTCGTCGAGGCGTGCAAGGGCCTCGGCATCAACTGGTGGGAGGAATGCCTGTCGCCAGACGACACGGAGGGCTTCCAGCAGATCAAGCGCGCGCACCCAGCGGTCAAGTTCACCACGGGCGAGCACGAGTACTCCCGCTACGGGTTCCGCAGGCTCATCGAGTCGCGGAACCTGGACATTATCCAACCGGACGTCATGTGGCTCGGCGGCATGACGGAACTGCTCAAGGTGGCCGCCATGGCCGCGGCGTACGACATGCCCGTGGTGCCGCACGCCAGCGGGCCCTACAGCTACCACTTTGTCGTTTCGCAGCCCAACACGCCGTTCCAGGAGTACCTGGCCAATTCTCCGGACGGGAGGAGCGTGCTGCCCGTCTTCGGAGACTTGTTCATCGACGAGCCGATTCCGACAAGGGGGTACCTGACGACGGCCGACTTGGACAAGCCTGGCTTTGGCCTGACCATCAACCCGGCGGCGTGGGCAAAGTTGATCCCGGGGAGAAACTTGCTCACTCCGACACCCGTGGCCATGCCGGCGCCAGAAATGAATGGCGCTGCAAAGGAGAGTGGGCATGTGCAACAGGCAGAGGTGAATGGGGCCAGTGAATATGAGGATGAGCTGGTGGGCGTGATGGACAAGTTGACGACTTGATCTAGCATACCGTGAGGATGATGTACGCATTTTGCATTCCACGTCGATTAGCACGAGCAGTTTTTCACTTGCCCTAAAATTACAGGGTGTCTTGGGTCTACTATAGTCGTATTGGGGTTCTATTAGGTAGGGAATAATGTCCTCTCACCGTGTCACCAAGCAAAGCCTTCTGCGTGTATGAAGCTGCCAACATGACAGTGTGTGAGGATAATGCGTCGTGGAGTTTAGCTCCTGGGAGTGATTAAGTCGGACACTGACATGTAAAAAGTAGCCTGGCGCTTTTAGCACTCTAGAGGCCGATTGCTGTCGTACCAAGCTGATGACCCGTTGACGGAGTTGATGTGCAGCCGGCCACAGGCCCTCACCAACGCGTTCACAGCTGAATCTGTCAGGGAGAATCATGCAGTAGGGTCAAACAAAGTAAAAAAAAGAAGGAAAGGTGGCCACCATCCACGAGTGCTGATGAATACAATGCCGGTCGTCGGGTCGGTTCCGTAGCCATCAAACCCTGCATACCCGGGACGAGACGAGTGGACCACCAAGATTACCCACCCTCCCGCTCTACAGTGCTACACTCCCCCGAGTTATCGTGAGTTTAACGGTGGCCGTTTACTGTCGCCAGTCTTACCGTCTTGCCCACGGCGAGCCCGCGTGTGGTAAAACGGTATGAAATGGAGCAAGGCCTCGTGACCACAGCACAGGGCATGGGTTCGCAGACGGGCATCGTGGCAGCCCTGCGCGAACGGACAAGCTGCCATCAATTGATCTTCAGGCACCAATTTTTTTTCTTCTTTTTCCCGTTGGTCCTCCGCCCTTGGTGTTTCCCTGCTGCATGCAGCCTATGCTCGCTAGGAAATGTGCCGACCTCTGAGGCTCCAGGACCCAGAGTCGATGAGGGGGAGGCTTGTCGCGGGGAAAAGTAAAAATAGCCAAAAGATTGCCAAGAAATGAGAAGCCGTTGACAGCTGGATGGAATTCAATTCAAGCGTCTTTGGCGGTCTAATGCCCTGACCCACAAGACAGACCTTGCACCATGAATTGATCCAACACTTGCTCTGACGCACACGCTTGGCCTGCTGCATCGCCCGTTTCCATCGCCATCGGCGCCCGTTTATCGCTTACCCCAGCACCCTGGTGCTTGGATCGAGACGGCCTCCATCGAATTGCATCTGGGTGGTAGTGTGACCCTGCGGTTTTTTCAATCCCAACGAGGGCTGGGACGAACTACGAGTTGACCAGTCATTGACTACAAGCGCACCCATCTACATCTGGCCGGCTGCGCTCATTTACCACCAGACGTCTTGTCCAACTTTTGAGTCGGGGTCAGTAAAAAAACAACACGACCCAGCCGGAGCGGGTCTCGTGGTCTTGCGTCATACACTTTCGTCTTCTTCTCCTTCTTCTTCTTGACAAGATGCCGCTGACCGGGCTGCTGGCCGGCAAGACGGCCATCATCACGGGCGGGACGACGGGCATAGGCCGCGCCATCTGCCTCGGGTTCCTGCGCCAGGGCGCCGACGTGGTGGTCAACCACCTGGGGCTGGACAAGGACAGGCACCACCTCGACTCGCTGGTGGCCGAGGCGGAAGCCCTCTCGGCGCGCGATGCCGGCCGGGCCGCCGCGGCCGCCGGCAGGCTGGCCCACGAGGCCGGCGACGTCAAAGACCCCGAGGCGGCGGCCAGGCTCGTGGCGGCGGCCGTCGCGCGCTCCGGACGCCTCGACATCTGCGTCTCCAACGCCGGCGTCTGCACCTTTGCCGACTTCATGACGCTGTCGCCCGACCTGTTGGAGACGACGGTCCGCACCAACCTCGACGGCGCCTTCTACGTGACGCAGGCCGCTGCGCGCCAGATGGCCCTCCACCAGTCCCCCCCCGGGGGCAGCATCATCGGCGTGTCGTCCGTGTCCGCGCTCGTCGGCGGCGGGCAGCAGGCGCACTACACGCCGACCAAGGCCGGCGTCCTCAGCCTGATGCAGAGCACGGCCGTGGCGCTGGGCAGGCACGGCATCAGGTGCAACGCCCTGCTGCCGGGCACGATCCGCACGCAGCTGAACGAGCAGGACCTGGCCGACGACGCCAAGAGGACGTACATTGAGGGGAGGATTCCTCTGGGCCGCACCGGCGTGCCGTCGGATCTGGCCGGCCCGGCTGTGTTTCTGGCCTGTGATGAGTTGAGCGGTTATGTGACCGGTGCGCAGCTGCTGGTTGACGGCGGCCTGTTTGTCAATCTGCAGTAGTTTTTGTCATGTAATGGTAAAACATGTCAGACTGCTGTTCCTGTTTTGTTAGTGATATGTGGCATTGGCGGAGTAGTAAGATGTAATATGTCACTTCTCTCTACAATACGGCCCATATTTTGCAATGTGTCAAGAACCGATGATCGCAACCCCGACTTTGAAACAATACGACCGTGGCCACCCCGGTAAACGTCAGCCATGGGAATCCCCTCTGGTGTGCGAAGGCTCCAAGCAGGTCGCGTGGACCCACAATATCCCGGCTATGATTAGTGACCTCAAGCGACATAATAGTGGCTTAGATCTAGTGATATATGATGTAGCTTTTTGTAACTTGGATGCTTATAGTGACCTGTATTATAGTGGAATTTAAGTGTGGAATAAAGTACCTTTTATTTTACGGCTCTTGATTGGCGTATTATCCCCGTAGATACATGACTGGAGCCTTCGCACACCAGAGGGGATGCAGAAGAGGCAACCCGCGAGCATTGGGGAAACGCCATCTCCACGCGTCTTGGCAATCCTGGAGAATAATAAGCGGCAAGGATACCACATTGCACCAAGTGCTTGAACGGGCCAAGAGCTGAGTAGAGAGGGGGACAGTGCAGGGGTCCATGAAATACCGCAAAGTGAGAAACATGATGAACGCGCTCAAGTGTCGAGCATCTACGGAGTACACACCATCTGAAGGGAATTGTGTCGATCGACCGTCTTTACGCGCATGGCCATGTATGGAAGATGCTGCGTGCGAGTCGACTCAAGCCTGACCCACGATCTGCCAAACCGGCATGTCAAATGCTAAGACTTGGGAAAGGCTGCATCGTGACGGTACGGTGGAGACGTTGGGTTTTCTCGAGACACCCTTTCCCACCGTTTGGCATCATTGTACTCCAGGCACGATAAGCAAGTCCCTCAAGTTTCATGGCCAACAGGTTGCCGGATCCAGAAGCGGGTGGGCGGGGAACACGGAGCAGCTACATGGCGACACGCAGGAACTCCCGCAGCACAAAGGTTCCCTTCCCCTTCCCTCCTTGGCGCAAGCACCACCGTAACCGCCGTCAGGCTGGCTGCCGGTGCCCGACTGTTTCCGGGCGGTGCAACATTTGAAGACACACGGCGGCCGGCGCAGACGCGACCAGGGGCAGAGGCAGAGAGATTGGTGGGTGGGCGTCGATGCAGCCCGCGCCGCACGGAGGCATATCCGGGAGCGAACGAAATAGTCTGACCAGAAGATTTTAGTACTGTACGTTTACTTGAGGGTAGTACCTCATTCGTCCCGACGGTTGCGCAATGCATCATCTTTCTTCTGACCCTTGAACCTGGTCACGGAAAGCAACGCGGTTGGCAGTCAAACGGCAGCGTTGAAAAAAAAAGGTCTGGTGCAATCGAGGGAAGGAGTGGACCCACTGCAGCGGAGTCGATGGCGGCGACTGATAGGCCTTCGGATCGAGGGCGGGGGTGGGCCTGACGTCACTGTGGACCAGTCCGACCGTGAGAGACGGCCGCACTCGAAATCGGTGGCAATGCTTCTTTCCACTCTGAATCCCCAAGATGTGTGCGAATTGTGGTGTTTACCGTATCGCGTACCTTGTACCTAGGTACCGCGCGTACGGCATGCGCTCGAGCAAGTACAGGTTTCACAAGTGCATGACACAGGCTCTCCTTTTGCACCCAACCGGCCAGACACCGCCACCCGTACGTACTTAAGTAGTCTTTCTCTTGCATTCGCCTGTGGAACCGCCATCTATCTACGAAACGTCTCAGCCAGTGAGCAAATCAGCCACTTCATATCAGCGTTTCCAATTCGTTCATGCAGGGTGCAAAGACACTAGACAAGATAGCCTCGCCCGGCTCAGCCTGACGTGAGCGCGCCAACAGCAAAGGTTTATTCCGCAATCTCTCCGTCGCCAAGGGGCCACCAAGATACCAAGTGCATTTCCGCTTGTTGCTTTGTTGGCTACAAGTACTCCAAACGGCGGTGGAGATGCTTTTGATCCATGCATGTACACAAAGGGCTTTGAGAGGTACAACGTCACGGCCCTGCAGCCACCAGTTTCGCCTCGCGTGGCCGTCAACCTCGGACGTACCTCTCATGTCGCTCCGGGTCCAAGGCCACCACCTACGATGCTTTGGTCATGTTACTTTTGAGATACGTTGTTTGTACAAAACAGCCGTTCTTGATGTTGTACTGCGCCTGTCCACGCCCGGAGCCAAGCCATGGTGGCTGCTTCACACCATCTTCGAATCATGCCCTGCCAGGGGCCGAAAACCTTTCACCGCCCCAGCCGCAACACGTTTTGCGGCTTATCGAACTTGATAGCGTCAGTTGGAATGAAGCCAACTTGGAGAAACGATGGGTTCTTTTCTCCTTACTGCTAGCGCAAGGCAAAACTCGGTGGTGGAAGACACTGATGACGTCTAATACGGTGGGTTCTACCAGTTGATGTCGTATCAGCGAGGGTAAAAAGAAAAAAGGGGGCATTATGTATTGTTTTTATGGGGTCTATTCCTGTGTGCCGTCACCATGGATGTCACAACTCTCTAGAGTTTTCATCAAGTGGAACCGCCATGTGGATATTCAGGTCGACGCTTTCCCCTTCGCCACGACCTTTGGCAAGTTTCTGAATGGGCAGCATCTTCTACTCGAGTTCCACTCTCCATAATGACTCGGGCTGAGCAGCCAACGTTGGTGACGAGTGGGCTCCACGCCGAGACACACATGCCAGATGTTACAGAAAACAACTCGAGGGGGGAGGGAGTCTGGACAGCAGAATCCCCAGAGACTATAAAGGCACTCACATCCTCCCACCGTTCATGACGGTAGATCTCATCTCCAAGACCAGCAACTCTCGCACTATTCTTCCGATCTTTCTCCACTCTCTCGTCAAAAAGGCAGGAGAAGAAGGGACGAGCTCGTTGGCATCATATCATTCATTCTCACTTATACGCCTCGACGCCTGTTACAGCATCACCCACATCTACAACACAACAATACCACCCATCATGGCGGCAACACAGCAGCAAGAGGCCAAGTTCTATCAATCTGTTGAACAGGCCAAGCAGGACCTTGATGCGGTTTCTGCGCCATCGACCACACCCAGCTCCCCTGGCCTGTCTGCAGACAGCTCTCGGGCCAGCATCGCCGGCGTTGATACTCCCTCATCGCCACTCTCTCCTGCCACCGTCGCCGATTCCTTCGTCTTTGCCTTTGATATCGATGGCGTTCTTGTCCGCGGCGGCAAGGCCATCCCAGAAGCAATCCAGGCCATGAGAGTGCTCAACGGTGAAAACGAATTCGGCATCCATGTGTAAGTGCAACCTCACAACCCCTGGCAGTTCCACCCCCAGACTTCGGTCCACCCAACCCACCAGGGGGGTTCCATCGTGACTTTGGTCTTAGGTGTTGTGCACCCGGGATGACGATTGGCTAACATTTGCTTGCAGACCTCACATCTTCCTCACCAACGGCGGCGGCAAAACCGAAGAGGAGCGATGCGGCGACCTCTCCCGCCAGCTGCTGCAGGACATCAAGCCAGGCCAGTTCATTTGCGGACACACGCCCATGAGAGAAATGGCCGAGAAGTACGGCACCGTCCTCGTAATCGGCGGCGAGGGCGAGAAATGCCGCGAGGTCGCCGAGGGCTACGGCTTCAAGGACGTCGTCACCCCCGGCGACATCATCAAGCACGACTCTGCCACCACGCCCTTCCGAAAGCTCACCGCCGAGGAGCACGCCAACTCTCGTGCCCGAGACTTTGACGACGTCACCATCGATGCCGTCTTTGTCTTTGCCGACTCCCGCGACTGGGCCGGGGACATCCAAATCATGCTGGACCTCGCCATGTCCAAGGGAGGACGCCTCTGCACACGCAGCGAAACCTTTGACGAAGGGCCCCCCTTTTACTTCTCCCACAACGACGTCGTCTGGTCCGCCGCCCACGAGCACGTCCGTCTCGGCATGGGCGCCCTCCGCCGCATGTTCGAGGTGACGTTTGACGACCTCACCCACGGCAAGGGCAAGCTCAGAACGCACGCCTTTGGCAAGCCCCAGGTCCCCACGTTTGAGTTCGCCTCGCGCCTCATGAGCCAGTGGCGCCACTCTCAGCACGGCATCTCGGACGCCCCCCAGACCGTCTACTTTGTCGGCGACACGCCCGAGAGCGACATCCGCGGCACCAACGCCGTCAACAAGAAGGCCGAGAACGACTGGTACAGCATCCTCGTCAAGACGGGCGTGTACCAGGACGGCACCGAGCCCGCCTACAAGCCCCGCGTCATTGTCGACAACGTCCTCGACGCCGTCAACCACGGCATCCAGCGCGAGATGCGCAAGAAGCTTGCTTCGTCGCTGAAGCAGGGCCTCGAGCAGGCTGCCCAGACGGCCGTTGCTGACGCCGAGATTGAGCCCCTCGCCGTATAGAGGCGATTGAATGAATTTCATATAATTGGAGTTGTGGGATTTCTTTGAATCTTTGGCATTGGGGAGCATTGATATTTTTCACGACGTTTTTCTTTGTTCAACATTTCCTACCTTGGCACTGGCTGCGAAAGATGGGGAAATAGGCCGTCCGATAGAGATGTATTTGCTCTGGTCTTGCGCTTCGTGTCATTAACTGATGCACCACCACCACCCTTATACCCTGATGAGCATCACATCTAGATAGATTCAGAAATAGATTAGACCAAGACCTTGTATGGACCTTGTGACTGTCACGTAATTGGAGACGCTTCGGACCACATGTTGGTGATGTTGCGGCTGATGTGCATTGGTGAGATACCTGGGTCTGCATCCCGAGCACACCTTGGGACAAACTACGTCGTTGTGCAGTATATCCCTGCGGATGCAGTCAGCTCAGGTTCAGGGGTGCATAGCCCTGCATACTGCGAGATTGCGGGCGGCACTTGGGATGGCAAATCGCTCGAGCATGAGCGAGGCATTTGTCTGATCCCTTTGAATGTGCCAAGGTGCCAGCGAAGTCCTTTACGGGGATAAAATCCAATGAGAATCAAGTGTTAGGTATGTAAGTACATGTAAACCCACGTATTTATTATAATAGTAAAGGTACTCTTCATCGTCCCTGTACTTTACTTGGTGGTACTCTACTAGGCCTAGTACAAGGAGAAATACTTAATAAGGGTATTCCGGAGAAGATACAGAGGCGACACCTCAACACATTCAAAGGGATACGGTGGTTGCCATCGGGCCACCTTGTCAACGGTTGCTTTGTCAGTGAATCGGCTAGACGGCTTATATCCCACTTTGGCGATTTGGGACCGAGGGATTGGCTAGAGTGGGCCATGCCATAATTTCAGACCCTCCATGTCAGTTCGGCCACGTGTGATGAAGCAGGGAGAGCTAGAACAGGAGATGATAGAGAGAGCGTGTAGGATCAGAGAAGGATGTGAATTTTGAATGAAATCTTTTCCAAGGACAGGTTATTATTTCTCTCTTTACTAATACAACTAACGATTCTGATTGAAATGCTCCGTAGAGGAGATTATTATTATTAGCACACAGGACCCTGCGTATAACCCCCACACGCTTCCTTGGCAGGTCACTCGTGGCTAAACTCACAGGGGTTGGATTGAAATGTCGACGCAGAAGCGGACCCTATTGGGTTAGGACAGTATTTTGAGATTTTGTACCAGACATGACATGATATGTTGCTGAATGGTGTTTCCGCCGTGAAACAGTGCTGACACGCTGGAATAATACGACTGCACTTTTTGACCAGACTGGCTGGAATAATCCCCAATGTCGGAAGAGAAGTCATGTGCATGTGGAGAATATGCCTACTATCGGGTATGCACCAAGAATTGCCTATTCGTCGGTACATACTAATGTAGCATTATGTCGTAGTATTGAGCACGATAGTCCGGTCTAGTGAAATACTTTTTAACCTTTCACTGTAGCTGTCGGATTCGTGTCGCGTCTTGACGATCCAATCCTTGATAACTCGCTGGAATTAGCGTCCCGGGCAGGCTGGCCCTCTTGCTTCAGACCTGCAGATGGGTTTGTAAAAGGAGGAGGGTATGAGCGGGACATCTGCCAGTCCCCAGGCTCGAGCTGGCGAGGTGCTGAATAACTGCCTCGCGGAAGGGCGGGCCGACCGTCTCCAGAAGTACCAGCGCCTTTGTGAGTTTGGGTCTGGCATCGGCTATGATCATGGGTAGTATGCCGCCCTGGCTATGGCCCGTGAGCACGACGGGCTTGCAACATTGTCGAGGAGAGCGGTTACTGTTGACTGCTGGTAGGTTGCGTTGCTGATGAACTGAACGTTGGAGCTGTAGAAAGTGTCGAAGACGACGTCGCCCATGAAGCCGTTTCCGGGCCATTGGGTGTGGAGCGCAGCCAGAGGCCAAAGCATGTGCCCCTTTCAGTTGTGAAACGCTGCTCAATGATTTCGGCAGAGTGGGTTGATGGCGTCGTGGCGTAGCGGCCCGATTACCAGAGCGAACGTGCCCGGAGAGTTTAATCGATAACATAGACTTTGTGGTCCTATTCCAAGAATAGGGACACCCAGCCTCGGTCCCGGTCGGGCTTATTCAACACGTTCTGAGGCAGCAGAGTTGGCTGCTGGTTTCTTGTGGCGCCTTGAAATACGATGGAGGCAAAGATGGAAGGCTCAAAAGGCTCAATCATGCTCGGAGGCATCATGGCGTGACAAGCCGTTGTTTTTCGTGTGGGGTGCTCTGCCACTGTATTTAAGAAGCTGTTGAGCAAGAGACAATGGCTGAAACTGTGATACGCACCGACCGACATTTATACCGCAATAGTACGATCTCCATCTGTAGAAGGCCCTCCTCCACTTTTGGCAGATTCGTAACAGAAACGTACGATACCTGTTTGCGCTCGGCCGTGAATGATGACAATAGGGGTCTTTTGAGTCATGCCGTTGACCGGTTTTAACTTCTCAACGTAAATCTGGTCGCGGAAGATCTACCCGCCTTTTCCATGGTCGGTATACTACCAATGTAAAAAAAAGTAATTTCCAATGTAGGACGCTTCGTCACTAGGAGAGCAACTGGCGACATCAGCATTACTGACCGGTGAAGCCTGTCCACTGGCAAAGAGCAGGACAACGGAGGCGAGACAGTTCTTCGGGCAAATGCGTTTCGAGGAACTAAATAGGGACTAAATAGTTACGATCTGCAAAGAGGAACCCCTTCGTGAACTCAATGCCACGTGCGGAGGGTTGCATCGAGCTTAGTTTGGTTTGACAGGCGTGGGACGTTGAAAGCCATGCGCGGAATTTGAGGCAGCCACTGAAAAGCCAATCCAGATGTCCGTTCCATGTTTCAGCAGAGAACCGTACGTAGTGCTGACCAAACAGATCACCTAAAATGGAGACGTTCACCTTGGCGCTTGGAGTAGACGACGCGGATGGCCATCAGCGGGTCGAACTGATACACGGCAACATCAGCATCATGATGCGCTGGCCGACAAGAGCAGCCTTGGCAATATTGGCAGGCAGCGGGAGTAGTTGCGGCGTCCGAATGTTGTATCCATCATGGATGGGCATGAGGTCAATGTTGGTTCTCTGCTGAGTCTGCTCCGTCGTGACCGGCGGTAGGGGAGTCAAGTGGGACGGCATCACTCGTATTGTCTGTGGACTGTGGACCGTGGACTGTTTCTGTCGTCGACATAATATCTGGAGCCACCATAATCAACATCTACCCCGTATGCAGTGACGGGTGGGAAATTGAGTCTTGAGAGGGGCTGGTGATTGATGGCGAGGACTACCAGTTGATCTGTCCGCGGAAATGTCAACCTGTCAATAGCTGCACGAAGGGCAGGAGGTGCAATGAATGACTCGCTCCTTCCTGGAGCATAGGCCACCGCTATAGTGCCGCAATCTGCAGGCGTTCGTCGGCTCCTTCCCGGCTATCGCATCCAGTCTGGTTGCAACATTCAAAGTGTTCCGAGCTGGCACCACAGCGGAAAAACGCTTCTCAAGATCCACCAACTTCATTTGCCGACATCATGCCTCGACAGTCTTGTATGCCATGCCTCCGCTGAAGAGAGCGCTTGACCCATGGTGAAAAAACCTTAGCGAGTATCCGGGCGGACGGGGGGTGGACCTCTTACATACGGCGATGTCCGTGGTTCCTGGCTCAACGGACTGGAATCATGGCCAGGTCAACCAGGTCAGGGCACCCAAGCCAACCCCCGTTCGCATCGCCAACGGCCATAAATTGGCCTTGGCGCAATAGTGAGTATTCGTCTTTGCAGGGCAGATATCTTGACAGGGGCGTGTTTAACTTTGCAAAGGTCTGCTTAATATTGGCCATTCTTTTCTTACTTGAACCTCGAGTCAAACACCAAAAACCACCATTGGATTGCTACACACGGAGTAAATTGGGTTATAATCCATCCTCTATCGTATAGCAACAGGACTTGGCCGAGAATCTACTTCTATTGCGTCTCTCTCTCCCTTCGTTGGTTGCCCTCTGTTGGTTTTTTTATTTCTCCCGCTTCAACATTCGATCAACTTGCCACTTCCATTGAGTGTTTACGAGTCGGCGATAAGCACCGGAATAGCTTGGGTCGTTGATTGTATTTGGAATTCCGGCGATTGACAGCTTCGAGTTGTTGCTTGCAGCTTGTTGTCCTCTTAGTTCCAAGAAGCTGCAATGGCCGGGCAAGGGCGTCGATAGCAACGATGATGATGCAGATGATGAAGAACCGAGTGCCTAGAAACACCGCCCTCATCATCCACTGGGTGTTTAGCTGCGTAGCAATCCTCATCATGACGCTACGGTTGGCCTGGAGGAAGTTGGCAAAGCAGTCCTTTATTCTTGGCGACTACTTCACCGCGGGTGCCATTGCCTGTGCCTTCGTAAGACTGGCCGTCATTCACGTCGTTCTCGTTTGGGGAACGAACAGTATGCCCAGGCGATACCGATTAGACCACGACTTTACCGCAACAGAAATCTACCAGCGTGAGATAGGAAGCAGATTGTCAATCGCTGGCCGCTTCGTCTACATTTCATAGTAGGTTGCCCACTTGAAGCTGCCGTGACCCAGCAAGATTGAAAGAGGCAAAATACACTGACGCCTCACGTGAAAAGCCTCTGGCTACAGAAGCTCGTGCTTCTAGACCTCTACCGCCGACTCATTCTCGATCTTGCATATGAAAAGATTATTACATGGGGGTACATCATCGTCTTTTGCGCGTCCTATGTTGCGGTCGAAGTCGTCACCTTTACCGAATGTAGACCGTTTCGACTATACTGGCAGGTTGTGCCAGACGCAGGTACGACGCACTAGTTTCCCAACTCGGCCTGTGACTCTGCAACATTGCATTTTGTGTGTTTGGGCACACCCAACGACATGAGCTAACTGGATGTGTGCGCGACAGGTCCTTGCGCCAAGGCACCCATTCAACTCCTCACTCTTGGCATTCTCAACATCGTCACCGACTTCATGTTACTCGTCCTACCAATACCTGTCGTCGCGTCTTTGAGAGCGCCGTGGAGGAGAAAGGCGCAGCTCTACCCCCTCTTCACACTCGGCATATTCATCATCGTCGTCACCATTGTGCGTCTGCGAATCAACTATGTCAACATCGGGAGCCAAGGAAGCCGCACCACCTGGGCCAGCGCAGAACTGCTGACGGCTGCTGTTGTCGTCAACGCCCCCACCCTGTATGGCCTGTGGAATAAGCGCAGACGGGATAAACTAGAGTGGGCTCGCCAGAGGGAGCGAGAGGAGCGGCGAAGAAACGGCAATGGGCCGATGCACCCCGACACCATTGGCGGCAGCAACGAATCGTATGAGATGCAACGGAAGCGCAAGCCAACCGCGCGTGGCATACTGGTCACCAAGGATGTCATGGTGACGGAGACACGAGGGGACGATGGGCGAAGTAGCAGGCAAAGTGAGCGTTTTCCGCACCTGGACGCGGAAAGTGTGTCACGGCACTCGAGCCAACGGGAGATTTTACCCCGATAATGAGCATTTGGCATTTGGCATTTTGATAGTAGCGATTGACTTCATAATATAGCATTTACACACTTCAACTCAACCTTGGCTTTTAACCATGATGTGCCGTCACCGTGTCGGCGATTCATCCGACCGTTGACCCGGCATGACGGACGTCCGCTTGTTAAAAGCCGATGGAAGTAAAGACGGCGGCCGTCTCAGTTGCCGAGTATCAATCAAATCTTATATAGACAGCCATGGTCTGATATACTTGCCTATTTATAAGGAGATGCTAATATCACGTAGTATATCATAGCATAGGAACCAAGTACCGAGTCTAATTTAATACCTAGGACCTAATAGGCCCGTCTTGCCTCCCAATGTGTTCCATGTGGTCAGCTCGTCCAACAAACCGGGCCGGCCGCGACGGCGATTCGTGCGGGCCGCAGCTCGACTAGCGCCGGTTCGGGAAGCCGTGCCCTTGCATTGACAGGAACAGCCAATGACGCAGTCACCGCGGATTTGAGGGTGCAAGACCGCCGTGCAAGACGAGATGCGAGCACAAGAACCGAGTGGCCCGTCGAGATTTTGCAATTTTGCCTCGCGAGAAAAGACCCGCATCATTCTGGAGCGTTTGCAATTCACCTGGCCAAGACGCCCGAGGCTGCTTCAATCAATCGACACCATTACATCCCCATGGCACGATACGTTGCCGCCACGGCACTGATGCTGTCCGCATCTCCGGCCGCCCCCAAGTCACGCCGGGACTGTTTCCATCCTACACATCGCTCTCGATTGGATTAATCGGATTTCCCTGCTGGGCTGGTACGCAAGTGAACCCCCCCTGGGATCAAAAATTAAACGCTACTCACCCCCACGCCAGGAACAAGAACCAGCAGAAACGTCTTCTCAAACAACCTCATCACCAACCTCGTCGAGGCCCAACGCGCGCCCATGGTCGTCCGCGTAGGCGGCAATTCAGCATGCGTGTTTCCTCTCTGCATGGAAAAAGAACACGAGCTGAAAAGGCCGGCGACCGCGCCATCTACGACGCGACCCTCCAAGCTCCAACAGCGGGCTTCCTGTAGGGACGCCGACCCATGGGCGTGGCAGTGCATCGAGCCGTCGTTTTTCGACTAGAAGAGGGGGGGGGGGCCTCTCATCAACCTGGCTTCTTGGAATTCGCC